TTATTGTGATATATTTAGGCCCTGTCCACACGAAGTCAAGCTCAGGCCTAAACGCAAAAATACTTTATCAATCCAGTGTATCGTCCATACGAGGCCGGCGTTTTGGGGGGGTGTAAACGAACATTTTTGAAACTAGGTCCCAGAGTGGAAAGATTTCAAAACTCTGTATATGCCGCTCCGTGGTTACTGCCTCTCCGCAATGTATCTGAGACGCTTGCGTCATCGCCCCGCCTCTTGTTAAAGCACTCATGCGCCGCACTCAGAAAATAATGACAACAACAATGTAGCTTGTTGTTTTGTAATCCAGTGCGACCCGAAGCAACAGTTCAACCTCATCGTCCGTCCATACTAATGTAGTACCAGCTCGCCCACTCGCCATGTTGTCTGTTTACAAAATTCCGCGCATGCCCAGTTCCCGTCACGGAAGTTTGGGCTTGATCCCGTCATTGCATCACAGCGCCACCAACAGGTCTGGCATAGTTTCACAGCGTTTTCAGGCGTATTGACTACATTCATATGGACGCACACATTTACTGAGCTAACTCCGTGTTTACAGAAAAAGTTTCTGAAATTATAAGCGTTTTGTCTTCGTGTGGATATAGCCTTAGAGTATGATAAAAGGTTGATGGAGGGATTTAGCAGAAAACATAAAGTGTATATTACAGTTTGCAGAATGATTGCGTTGTGCATAACCAGGAAGGACTATAACCAGGAAGTAAGATCACATTAGTCCAGTTCTCAGGTCTCTGCGCTGGCTTCCTGTGGCTCAGAGAATAGACTTTAACGCAGCTCTGCTTGTTACAAGTCTCTCCATGGCCTCGCACTAAAGGACATGCAGTAAGTGACATGTTAGTCCCATATGAACCAACTCGGACTTTGAGGAGCACAGGGACTGGCCTCCAGCTGGTGCCCAGAGTCAGGTAGGGGGAACGTTTTATGGTTAAAAAAAAAAAAACTGAAGGATTGTATCTTTACTATTTTTAATGTACTATGATTATTTGTTATTTTAATGTTTCTGTCTCAGTATGAACTGTGCCATTCAAAAAAGCCTCCCCTGCCTGGCCAATAAAGGGTTTCTGTTTCATAGGGTTAGGTGTATTAACAGTTTATTTTCAGCCTTTTGGTCTTCAACAATTTATGTTTGTATGTGAAATCGTATTTTTTTTTTTGACAAATGATTGATTATTTAATTATCCAACTACAAAACCAGCTCTCAACACAGGTTCTATCACTAGTTTTTAGCCCTTTTCACATATTTAAATCAACTTTTTCAAACAGAAAAGTAAAACATTCGGAAAAACCACCATCTTTCAGCCAAACAGATCTCAACCCAAAGCATCAAAAAGTGACTCACAAGGCTCTTTCTCATTAGTATGCAAAATTGTATTGTAAATTAGCATGTCGTGGTCTGCCGAGTCTGCAAAATATTGTTTAAAAAAAAAAACTGTATCTGTATCAAAACATATGTATTATTTATGGGCCAAAAAGTTAGGTTCCTCAGCTTTAACATTATCTTCAGAACCAACCGTGTAGCTGCTTGCTTTGGCTTAAATTTGGCAACAATAAGCTACATTTTTAACCACAGATGATGGAGCCTCCCTCTCATATTTCTATTGCAGTCCTCCGCACATATTTATCTGGAAACAAACTTTTAACACTTTATAGATGAAAAAAAAAAAAAAATCCTTCTGAAGATGAAGCCGGTGTCATACATATCCCATAAATATTCTCGCTTGCTTATTTCATGAAAGGGGCAGGACACAAATGTTTATTAAAGATACAGTGTTTTATTTACATTATATGACAGAAGATGTGCCATTTTTTGTCCATAATAAACTTACAGCAGTCTCAAAAGTAATCGGCGAACTGAAAAGCGATATTGTCAGCAGAGTCAAGCAGAGTTCACACGTCCCAAAATGTACTAGAATATGAAATGCTACGAGACCAAAGTTCTGCCAAAGACGCCCGCATCAGGTTTGTCCTTTGTCATTCCCAAAGAAATGCTGGTGGTCAAGCATTATGGAAGCTACCGTTCGGTGGTCTTATTTTCTTTTTCTAAATTAAAACCATAAAATAATAGAAAAATCTGCATATTTTTGTTTGAAGTCTGTGCGCTTGTCTCTGCTGTTGAAATCAGTCAAAATTGAAAAAAATTGAAATGTTATGTCACCATCTACTCAAAAGCCTTGTGGGTAATTTAAATCAGAAGAGAGGGTTCGTCCACACCCATGTTAAAACAACACTCCAAAAATAATATGTTCACCACGATGACGAGGGTTTAGCTCAAAAAACATGTAACGTATCGTCAAGTAGAAAAATTAAAATTGTATTTGCTTAGAATAGTTTGTTGATGGCACACCTGACAACTGTAGAAATAAGAAACATGTGAAAAAGTCAATGAATTAAAATAGCTCTAAATGTCTCTCGGATAGATTTAATGTTGAGTATAATAAATATATCTCATTTGTTGGGGACAGTCCAGGGTGTAATGGGTGAATATTTGGCACAATCCACATTCTGCCTACACACACACACACACACACGCGCACACACAACACACACACACACACACACACACACACACACTATATTGCCACTATAGTTTTGTCATGGTAATGTCACTGATATTGGTCACTCACAACATGAGCAAAGAACCAGGACCTGCAAACTCACTCTTCAACACATTTGTTAAATAGGAAAATGACAAACCCGAACCCTAATGGAAAATGTTCTTTGCAATAAAACTAAACCTAAAAAATAAAATTAAGTAGAACCATGTTGCTACATATAAATAAATGTGTCATTGACAATGTGCAAAGGGGTGGAGCTAGTATCCTGTGCCTCGTCTACAGTATAAGCGTTAAAGAAGACATGTTATGATGTGTCTGCATAATGGTTAGTGTATAATGAATGGCGTCGTTTCCCATATGGGGGTAGCTAACCTTTCTAGGTACGCTGGGATGTCAAGAAAACAACATCATAAATAATTCTATTTCAAATGTTGAACTTAACACAATTGATGATAATAATAATTTGTCTATCAGTCTGCAAAAACATGCATTTCTTACTTTTGGTCCATTGGATTGGTTCTTTTGGCCAAAACTCAAGATAAATGAAAACAGCCTCAAATATGCATGGATTCATTTTAAGTTTGTTATTGGAAAGGTAAAAAATATATAACAGTTAAAATATATATAACATAATATGTCTCCTTTAAACATATATTTTAAAGTATAGCAGAAACTAGACCATATACCATGTAAAGGTCAAATGAAAAAGAAAGTGTTCTGGAACAAGTGTGTAGAGAACAAAATAAAGATGTAGTAAAAGTATTAAAGAATACTGTGAATGCATACAGTACACGTGTACCGAGGAGAGAGCAGTATTGTAGTGTTTTGCAGGTTCTGGTTCTCTGAATATTCACAGCAAAAACATTCGTGTTTTTGGTCTCACAAGTTGCACCAGTTTGGAACGTCACGACCAAGATGAGAACGTAGCAAAAACAGTAATTTCTTACAGTAACTGACTTTGAACGCCACATATAACTGAAAGTCCTACTGACTGAGTACAGATATGTCCATAAAATACTGCGCTGGATACTTGAAGTTCCATGTAATTTGGTGTGTATCTCAGTCTGAGTGGTTTCTGAAGATGATGCATAGGATATTTCATTTGGGAAATAAATGTTACTATCTAATCATGAGGAGCACACAGCCCAGGTGTGTAGTGCTGCACATAGTTCTCCAAAGTCTGTTTGTCCCAGTTCACAGTCTGCTCTGTCCTTCCTAAAGCCTCACTATGGCACATGACTTTAGATGCTGGTGTTGGACACATGTTGCATGTCAAAGCGATTAGTGCAGTCACAGAGGGTGCTTTGGCCACTTGCACAGTTTTATTTGCCCCAAAGTAAACACTGGTGTTGTGTACCGTTGCATTCATTCATCCATTCCATTTTCTATTATGGATCTTGATCAGTTAGATACATATAGAGCAGTGTATCACATTTTCCCAATTTGTTAGAAAATAATGTGGTTAATTATTTGTATTCAGTAAGTAAAAATATACATTTTCCTGCAGCCTAATAAAAATCACCATTTACGTCTTCACTCCAGACACTATGACTTTCTTACCACTTCCTGAGCTACACTGTCATCTTTGCACTGCGGGCCTAACATAATCTGCCACAAACGCTGTTTTTGTACAGGACAACAGTAAAGGAGCTGTTAGTGAGTCAAAGTTGATGGTTTGCACAAAGTTCTGTCTCTTATTGGTTGATCAGGACAAAGTCAGATGAATCTTCTCTCAGATATCGGAGCGTGTTTACATGCAGCAGTGATCTGGTGCAAGAACCAGGTCCTGTTAGCTCGGTGGATTAAGGCGCCGACTATTTAAGATGTGTGATATACCTTGTGTAGACACACTCCAATATAGGGAAAGATCCATCCGGCCTTTTGTCATCACGGGAACAGTAATAAAGGCACTGATTGGGGATCACTTCTGACTTAATGTACGTCCTTCTGTCTCTACCACTGACCTTGCCCAGACCTGTCCATACTGTATCCCCTTGTGTCTGTGGAAACACACGTAGCTATGATGTAGCGATGAGACAGCTGTATGATCCAAAGTGTGATGTCCTCAGCACAGCACGTCATGATGACCATCATTGAGGCGTGTTTACTCAAATAAACATGAATCATCCAAATTCTGAATTTCAAATCCAACTAAAGTGTATAAACATTGTTACGTCCAGGTTAGGTCTCCTTGATGAATGATGGGACACCACCAAACTGTCCATGTGGGCTCAGTTTTACACTGCATTATGAATGTTGTCATCCAATACGTTTTTTCAAATAGGATGGTGTTATGCGAAAAGATAAGACACAGACTGTTTCTAGTATAATTTGTCGTATCTCCAGATTTTGTGTTGAAGACTCCGGTCGTGTAAGCTGCATAGTCCATAGAAATGCAGCGTCTCACAGTATCCCTGTGTGAAGCCACTCTTACAAACTAGTCTCTCTTAGAAACATGGTCCCGATGCTGTACGAGACTTTCCTCATGGCTGTAGGGGGAGCGGAGCGCGAGCTGGTTAAGGAGGCGTGGCTGTGTGATGTCCCCGCCTCCAGGAAGTAGCACGTCCCTGGAATCTCCTTGGGGAAATTGTCTGGGAGCTCCAGTTGTGAACGGGGAGTAAAAGAAAAAGAGCGGTCATCTTTAAGCAACCTAAGACAAACGGGGAAAATATTATTCAAATGTATGAATTGATTAAAATTACAGTGTGTTTCCGAAGTACTTACTGGTATGTTGTAGGGCTAACGTTGATGCACCTCGGCTGGCTCCCAGACTCAAATTTGCTCGCCAAAGTCACATTGTTCCCAAAGAGACAGTAGCGTGGCATCTTGACCCCGACGACTCCGGCCAGCACTGAGCCTGTGTGGATGCCGATTCTCAGCTGCAGAGACAAAGACACAAGGGCACATACTTTTCAGAGAGTATTCAACCCTTTCACTTTTCTTATGTTGGAATGTTACAGCTTTATTCCAAAATGTCTCTTGTCAATCTACTCGCAATACCCTATAATGACGTGACAGTGACTTGAACAAATCTGTCAGGATTTTATACGATTTTAATCACTGAAGGATCACATGTACCCTTTGCTATATAATACCCTGCTCAGATGGCAAGGTAAGGCAAGTTTATTTGTATAGCACAATTCATCACAAGGCAATTCAAAGTGCTGAACAAAACAAGAAAGCATTAAAATCATAAATAATCACAGTACATAAAAAAAAAGATAAAAATATAAAATCCCTCAGTTGTATGCACAGCTAAACAGAACTGTCTTTAACCTGGTTTTAAACATTGTCAGAGAGGAGGCCTGTCTCACATCTTCAGGAAGACTGTTCCAGATTTTAGCAGCATGAATCTGAAAAGCAGTCTCCCCATGTTTAGTTCTGACTCTGGACACTAACAGGAGTCCAGTCCCTGTGCTCCTCAGAGTCCCAGCAGGAGTCCAGTCCCTGTGCTCCTCAGAGTCCCAGCAGGAGTCCAGTCCCTGTGCTCCTCAGAGTCCCAGCAGGAGTCCAGTCCCTGTGCTCCTCAGAGTCTGGGCTGGTTCATATGGTACTAACATGTCACTAATATATTTTGGTGCGAGGCCATGGAGAGACTTGTAACAAGCAGAGCTGTTTTAAAGTCTATTCTCTGAGCCACAGGAAGCCAGTGCAGGGACCTGAGAACTGGACTAATGTGGTCGTACTTCCTGGTTCTAGTCAGGACTAATGTGGTCGTACTTCCTGGTTCTAGTCAGGACTCGAGCTGCTGCATTTTGAATGTACTGCAGCTGTTTTACAGCCTGTTTGGACAGACCTGTGAGCAGGCCATTGCAGTAGTCTAACCTACTGGAGACAAATGCAAGGCACTAACACAATCAACCTCCTTGAAACCCCAAACACCAGCTGTATAGAATAAAATAGAGCTAACCAGAGAGTCATACAGTTGTGTATAGACAGAGAAACTTAAATCTGGGACCATTTTCATTTTACTCACAATGGAGCCCAGAGCTCTCCCTGCAGACTCACAGAGACTGGGTTCCCTCTGTAAAAATCATAAACTCATTGAAGACTAATCCGAGGTATTTATATGACCGTGTGTAGGTCAATGGAGAAAGTAAGTAAGTAGTAAGTAATGTTTATTTATACAGCGCATTTTTACAGACCAAGGTCACCCAAAGCGCTTTACAATGTTCAGAGTCAGATATTGTTCCAATCATTCCACACACGGTGATGACGGAAGAAAGTCCAGAACACACTGGACCATCAGCTCCAACACCATCCATTCACTCTCTCATTTTACATTCATACCTATTGTGCATGTTTTTAGTGGTAGGGGAAACCGGAGCACCTGGGGGAAACCTATGCAGACACGAGGAGAACATGCAAACTCCACTCAGAAAGGTCCTGTTCCGACCGGGATTCGAACCCAGGACCTTCTGAGAGGCGAGTGCTATCCACTCAGCCACCGTGCTGCCCGGACAAAGGTCGTAGATAAAGAATATGTACTTTGTGACTGATTCTTTTTCCAAAAATGCATAATTTGTGTTTCATCGTTGTTTAGAGCCAGTCTCCATCTTCTGCACTATGCACTTAAAATATCTAACATCATCTGTAATTTATCTTCAGTCTCTGCCAGCAGAATAATGTCATGTGCATACAACAGGAGACTTACTGTAAGTTGAGGTCATCAATACAAATAACAAGGTTGGCTTCTTTAATTTCGTTCACCAGGTCGTTTATATACAAAGAAAATAAAGTTGGTGATAATACTGTACATCGCCCTGTTTCACTCCAAAAGGGGTGAAACCAACCCATTCTTAAATTGTTGATTTGCACACAGGCAACAGGGGCCTGGTAGAAGGACTTGATTGCATCATAAAACCTCCTTTTAATACCATATCCCAGCAATTTATACCACAGAAGATCCCTGTTAACCCAATCGAATACTTTTTGTAGTAGTAGTAGTAGTAGTAGTAGTAGTAGCAGTAGTTGTATAATAATATTTATGCAGCAATTTTATATAGCGCTTTTCAGGACACTCACAGACGCTTCACATGTCATTATTCACTCCACACACGGTGGTGATGAACTATTGTAGCCACAGCTGCCCTGAAACACACTGACAGAAGTAAGGCAACCAAGGACAAAGTGTCTTACCAAGTATTGTCTACAAAAGACGGACGTGTCTCCGATTTGATAAAGAGAAATGAGAAGCAAGATTTCAGAGTTCAACAGTATTTAATTATCTTTACAATCAAATACAAAACCCAAGAGCTCATACCCTGATTATCCTATCCCTGGTCTCTCCCTATGTGAGCTGACTAGCATAATGTACTGAATAGTTTTATGTAAAACATGTAGAAATGCCACTGATGTCATCTGGATTTTTACCAGACTTCAAAGTCTGGACTGGTCTCGGACTCTGGTCTGGTCTGGTCTTGGACCCCGGTTCAGGTCTTTGGTCTTGGACTGTTTTGCATCCTTCTCCTCCCCCGCATCTCTTCACTTTTGTCTGAAAAACATCTACACTCCCTAATTATGTAACTTTTCCTTTAAAGTCTAAACGATCTCACGGTCACTGTGACTTGGCTGACATCGACCTCTTCCCAATTTCCCCTATTTGTAATAAATCCGAGAGTGGCGAGAGTAGCTCAGTTGGTAGAGCATTGGCCTTAAGGCCTTAAGGCCAGAAGGTCGTGGGTTCAATTCCCACCTCTGCACCTTCTCCACCGACTCCCACTGATGACTGCTGTAGTTGTGTCCTTGGGCAAGACACTTAACCCCACTTTGCCCAAAGCCCCCACTGAAAGATCAAGGCTATGCTCACACTCAGAGAGCAGCCGTCCTCCTGTGGACTCACCACCTGCAGAGGGTCAGTGAGGGGCTGGTGCTATGAGACTTGGGTGGCATCTCTGACTGCCACCCCCCTGACCCAGAAATGGATTAAAGGGTAGAAAATGGATGGATGGATGGATGGATGTAATAAATCCCATTTGACCTCAGAGACTTTTGATATAAAACAATACAATCTCATGATTAAATATAGAATTTCACAAGTTGTTAAATGTTGACACAACACAAGACACAACAAGAGAAAAGAGACACATTACACCCGCCCACAGTGCCACTTGTTGTTTCCAGAGGTCTCCCATTGTAGTACTGACCGGGTTTGACCGGCTTAGCTTCAGAGGTCTGACAGGATCCAGGCAGTCACCCATGCAGGTGGCGAATGTGAAAATCTGTGTCCCATATTCAAAATGTATAATTTATGCAAACCGACTTTATAATAAAGACCAGGGGCCGTATTCCTAAAGATTCTTACTGCTAAAAGTTGCTCCTAGTCACAGAGGATCACGGCGAGTTCAACAATGAGGGATGGGAAGTTGTGAAACGGCACAACAAACGGAAGCAGGAAAAAGTGGAACAGGCCCCGATACCTCATCAGGGACGCTCTTCCAACTCAAAGCCCAAGAACGCAAGACTCCCCAAATCACAGACAAGGCCTCGTCGCACTACTGAGAATGTGGAACTTACTCAAAAGATCTCCCAAAGAAAAACTCAGAGACATTTAAGACAAGAAGCTGAAGTGAGCAACCCTAAAGTGGAGAGATCTGTTGAGCAAAGCAGGTCCCAGCAAGCCCCAGGACACTATGCCAAAATCAGAAAACAGCAAGATGAACCTCATGTTGAGCAGGTAAAAGGGTCTGGACAAGCAAAACAGGCTCAAACTGATTTCAAACCTGTTTCAGCTCTTGAGGAACGGCAGAAACAAGCTGCGGAAGTGAAATGGTACGAGCCAAAGTCAGAGATAATGGTTTATCCTTCGCAGCCTCCAAAAGAGCAGAGGAAACCAAGGCGCCTTCCAAAATGTGTGGTTGAACGTCGTGAGGCCAAGATGGAAGCGCAGGAAGGGAGCCAGAATTCTGATGATACTCAAGAAACGTTAAATGTTGAGGCAGAAATTCAGGCTCCAGCTGAAGCAGAGAAGGTGCAAGCCGAGATCCAAACTCATACAAAGAAAAGGCAAAACAGGCGGAGAAAGAAAGCATCTAAAGAACCAGTGATCTTCTCTTCCAATGTTAGACCATTGACATTGTCTGAGGAGTCCTATGATGGCCCTTTGGAATTTGGAACAAGCTGGAGACCAGAAGAAGAGAAGGTGCAAGCCGAGATCCAAACTCATACGAAGAAAAGGCAAAACAGGCGGAGAAAGAAAGCATCTAAAGAACCAGTGATCTTCTCTTCCAATGTTAGACCATTGACATTGTCTGAGGAGTCCTATGATGGCCCTTTGGAATTTGGAACAAGCTGGAGACCAGAAGAAGAGAAGGAAGTCCAAACAGAAAACACAGAAGCAGAAGAGAGTATTCAAAAACATCAGCCGCCTGGGATCGTGTTATTCAGAAAGACCGGTAATTTAACCAAGTCTGGAGATAAACTGTGGTTTGGCATGCCGGATGAAGAGGAGGACGATGAGATTTACATGTGGCAGCTGACGTAAATGCAGTAATGCCAACCCTGGCCCTCCCAATCCCCTCCCCCTTCCCCCAAACTTAGAACCAAGAACCAAGAACCCTCTAAACTTAAAATATAAAACAATCCCCCACATCAAAAGGGCATAAGTAACTCCTAATCTCCAGTAGGATGTAGTCTCTGTTGATGCATTAACCCTGACAGCCTCCGACAAGAACTTGACACATTCCCATCATATTTAGGAGACAATAAGATGGCTTTCCCACAAGAATCATCCAATTGTCTAATCCTAAACACGTCCACTGTACCGTCCTAATCCTCCCAATTCCCCAAACCTAAATTATAAGACTTAATTCCGCAAATCTAAACAAGAAATAGAACCAAAACACCACAAATACATAAATAAGTCCAAATGTTCCGTAGG